GGACTTGCAGCGGTGCTTGCCATTTAGTGCTATGTTTACATGGTAAGGGATGGATCAGACCAGAGGAGAAGCATCTGAATCATTGGCACTGCATTCCATTTTGTGCTGAATCATATTCAAGTTTCGTTTTCGGTTCAGGGGTTACCAGAGAGTGCACAGCTCAGACTTCAACTGCCTCCAGAACAACTGGGACCTGCACAAGTATGAATCTCCAAAAAAACTGTATCCTTTATCTCTGGTGAGTGTAACTTTCAGTTGAAATTGTTAGATTCTAGCAAACCTTCTCCATGCCTCCTTAAAACAAATGATACCCCAAATACTATCATCCAACAGATTAATTTTATACTTAAGCAAACAAGATGTTCCTTTTGCTGTCTCTATGAAGACTTTCCTTGTTTTATGTACCTTCTTTTTTTTTTTTTTGAACAATGCAATGGCAGAACTACATGTGACATTTTCTCCCCTAAATGGTACCTGCTGAGAAAAATTCCACCATTAAAAATGGCCCACGCTAACATTTAAATGTTGATAATAATTAGCCTGACATTTGAAATACAGTGGTTGCACTGTTGTCTTGAAGATGTTCTGCTCAACATTACCTAACTAGCCCCTTTTCATACTTACGTGCTCTCTGTACATTATTCTGTCAGTTACTGAACAAATAAGACATCAGTTGCTAATGTATTAACATGCAAAAACTACGCTTAAGGGCCAAACACTGCCCCCAGTCCACAATGTAACTCCCATTGATGTCAAGTACTGTTAAGGTTGTGACAACCAGTAAAAGAAGGGAGCTGAAAAGTAGGGGATCAATTTTCTCCCTGATCTGCAAGGAATTTATGCAAACGGCTCCCTGCAGAAGGAGGGATGGGAAAGGCGGCGGGCGCGGGTCGTGCCACGGATGGGAGCTGCTGGTTTCCTCCTGCTCTGGCCCATTGTGCAGAGCCTCAGCCATGCCATCTTAACCTTTTGGGGAGTGCCCAGTCACCTCAGGTGTGCTGGAAGGTCAGGTCCCATTGCTCCCTGCTCTTCATGTAACATTAATGTAGGTGGCTGCTAAAAAGTGGCAATAAATTGGCAGAGCAAGCTGAAAACCAAAGTACCCACAGAAGGACAAAAACACTCCTTTCTCATCTTTGGGTGATGAAGAATTGCACATTCCTTATGACCTATCTACAGACAGCCCTGCCTAGGAGAGGCCAGTGGGATGAACCTGGAACCAGGAGAGAGGAAACTGCTTTCTTCCAACTTTTTCCTGGATATCCCAAACCCTGAGCATGTATCCTGGCTTGGCGCGTGCAAATGATTTTGGGCAAAAAGACTTACACATGGTTAAACTCTGCATGTAGACAGCAGAGTACTTTTCTATGCTTTCTTAGATAACAGAACCCTGTAGTGCTCACAACACAGCAGAGCACATTAACTATAAATGACACAGTCTAAGAATGAAGTAATAGCATTGCCCCTGCATTTCCTTGCTTTTGTTATCTCCAGATTCTAACCAGAGAAGGCCTTACCTGCTTTGTGTGAGCATGTGGTTGCCATCTCCTCTGTTCTATTACTAATGAGTGTCTCTCATCCTAAGAGAAACGAGGATGATACAAGTGATGGCAACAGGAAGCTTAGGGTACACCCACTCCT